AAAACCAAACTCAACACCATCGAGTCGATGCTGATTCAGAGTGAGTCCTACAGGCCAGGGAAGACCTGCCCCTGTGGGTTTCTGAGGCTGTAACTCTTCATGGGAGTAGAAAGCCTCATCTTTCTCCTGAGGAGCAGTTGGTGGTTTTGAACTGCTCACTGTGAGGTTAGCAGTCCAGTGTGTAACCACTAAGCCACGAGGGCGTCTTCAGAAGTCAAGAGGTTTATTTAGTTTATGAGTTGGTTCTTTCCTATTTTTAATGCATCTCCTTCCCTAGAGGCTTAAAAAAGAAAAAAAATACTGCCTCTCAAGTCAGTTTTGATGTATAGTGAGCTCAGAGAGGGTTTCCGAGGCTCTGTGAAGTTTTTCAAGCGCAGACAATCTCGTCTTTCTCCCATGGAGTTGCAACCACGACCTTCTGGTGGACGGCACAATGCAGCTGATAGGGCGTACAAGTCATGGCGAAGGACCCTTGCGTTGAACCATGGAGAAGAAGGACGATACGGTCTCAAAGCCTGGCTCTCCTGCAGGTGGTCACCTGTCCCTCATCCCCGGGCTGACCGGGGCCCCTCCGAAGTCATGCTTTCCTGCGCTGATCTCCAATCCCAGCTTTTGGAAGGACTCCTGCCTCAGAGACCCTGGGGGGTACAGGTGGGCGACACATTCGGCTGCTCACTCAGAGGTCGGAGGTCCAAGTTCACCCTGAGTCGCCTGGTGATCTTCAGTCTTGTCAGCACGGCAGGTCCCGTGGGGGCGCTGCTCTGCCGTGACACACATGGGTCCCCACGAGCTGGAGTCTGCTTGATGTCAACTGGAGAGCCGGTTCCGACTCATCACGGCCCCCCAAGCACAACAGGAGAAACCGCCCAGTCCTGCGCTTGAGCCCGGTGTTGCTGCCCCTTCTTCGAAATCCTTTCAACCTCCTTAACTCATTTACAATTTGCTCCCAACTATATAATAACTTGCCACTGTTTCAGTATGATGGAGCCCTGGTGGTGTAGTGGTTACGCTTTGGGCTTGCATCTGCAAGGTGAGCAGTTCGAAACCACCGGCTGCTTTGCAGGAGAAAGACGTGGCGTTTGATTCCTCTGAAGAGTCGCAGCCTTGGAAGCTCACAGGGCGTTGCTTGAGTCCCAGCGGACGCGATGGCAGTGAGCTCGGATCTTGGAGGTTGGGTTCCAGGCTCGCTCGCTCGCTCGTCACTGCTCCTCTGCCTTGTGCGCAAAACCCGATGTGTCCATTTCCTGCCATGTTCAGCGTCTTCTTATGGAGAATAGAGTTCCGATTATACTTATTTTTTATTTATTTCAGTGAATAGAGGTGTGTGAGACCGGGTTGACTAGAGAAATCCAGAGACACTCAAGGGTGTAAAAGAGAGCTTGATATAAAAGAGAAGTTGTCTGTTAAGAACACATCCCAGGCCAGTCCAGATCAAGTCCATAAGTCTGATATTAGCCTATAAGTCTGATACTAGTTCATAAATTCCTCCTCAGACGCACGCATCACATGCAATGATGCGGAATGCAGGAAGGCTGGTGGGTGGAACGTCTTGTGGATCTGCTGGCCATGGAAGCATCTCCAGGGCTCTGGCTGCCATCAGCTTGGCTCCAGGTGGCTTGTCCACAGGAACGTGGACAGAGAGAGTGAGAGAGAGAGAGACACCCGCCTCTACTGATGGCCGAATCAAAAGAGAGCAAGTTCCCAGAATCCTCATGAGAAAGCCACACCCACAAGGAGGGATCACCAGGCTGTGAGCTGATTGACAGGCTAGACTCCACCCCTTCATTCTTTTATCAAATGGACTTGAAATTGTGTAACTACCGCACAAGGTACACTGATTAAAAGCGGGATGATGGAAGGTAGGACTTCCTTCGTGGAAGCTTATCTGAAACCAGGTCCATAGCCACACCTTCTGTTGAGGACGCTGCCCTTTACCTGCGGGGGCATAGGTGCTGCGGGCCCCTGCTGTCCTCTGGCCAGCCTCGGGCAGCACTCTGGGTGGGAAGGCTGCTTATGCTTTTCCACTGGTGCCTGCACAGGGGCCTTGGGAAGTGACACATATTGTCATCTGCTGCTGGAGGCTGACTAACAGGGTAGGGGCACCCCCCCAGGTTACTTTCTGGAAGTTCTCAGGTCGTCTTTTGGGAGCACTAAGGTGCACCCGATTCAAGCCATGGTATTTCCCCTTGCCTCATATACATTTGAAAGTTGGACATTGCCTAAGAAAGTCGGAAGAAAAAGGATGCGTTTGCATTGGGTGCTGGAGAAGCACATTGACAGTTCCCTGGACTGCTAAAAGGACAAACCGGTCTGTCCGGCCAGAGTGCTCCTTAGAGGCAAGGATGACCGGATTTCATCTGACATGCTTTGCACGTGTTGTCAGGAGAGACTAGTCTCTTGAGAGGGACATCATGCGGGGTAAAGTGAGGGACAGAGAAGGAGAGGAGGGCCCTCGGGGACATGGATGGACACCGTGGCTGCATCAGTGGGCTCAAGCATGGGGACAACTGTGAGGCTGGCCCAGGGCCGGGCAGTGTCTTGTTCTGTCATGTACAGGGTTGCTCTGCCATGGGCCTGACTCTAAGGCACCTAGCAAATGTGACCCCCATGTACTTGGGCTGCTAATCAAAAGATTGCTGGTTCAGACCCACTACATGGCACAAAGATGAAGCAGCTTGCTTCCGTAACAATTTACCATCTTGGAGACCTTATGGCGTGAGGGTGGGGGGCAGTTCTCCAGGGCCACGGTGCGTGGGAATTACTTCTCTCAAACTGGTAAGCAAGTCACATTCTGAGTGGCGCAAACTGGTTTTGAATTCCCATCTATTGGGCTCCAAGCCGTCTCCCTCCACGGCGATGCATTCAGGAACTCGAGAACAGATCGGGCTACCACAGGTTTGAAAAGGGCATGTTCACAGTCTGGGACTTCGAGACGGGGGCACATTAGAGGACTGGGGTTCTCACCTGAATGAAGAGAAGTCTACACATTTGCATCACGACCGTACCATCTGACGCGGACGCCTCATCGGTCTCTGTCAAGTTCAAAGCTGTAGGCTCCGTGAGAGTTTTCCCAAGCATGGGGGCCATGTCATTTGTGACAAAACCTAGTGAAAGCCAGTCTGAGATGAAGTGTGGTCTGTGTGAATGTCCCCATATGTTGCTGCAGACAATTGTTATGTTGTGTTATTGGGTGTCGACCCAGGCCCAAGTGGGAATGCTGTGGTATATATTCTATGCATACGCCTTCCTAAAATCTGTAAGATTCTGGGTTCAGAAGTACAAGCGGCCCACTGTTTCTGACAAGCTTCTGTGGATGTGTGCAGCTTGGCTGTTGTTCTCTGATGATAGCCAGTCCGGTAGCGGGATGCCAATACTGCCAGCAATGCTGCTTTCCACCAGCAGAGGGGGCGAGCGCCACACCTGACTTGTGAGGGCGTGGGAGGGAGTTTGATTGGAAAGAGAACTGTTTCTAGGGTTTAAGACATTGTATGTTTGCACTTTGAGGTAAGAGTATGTTTTTCTTCTTTAAGATGGGTCAGGAGCAGACATTTGGAATCCTCAACGTGCTGGAATTCTCAAGGTATGTTCCCCTTTGTTGAGCTTGAAAACACACACACACACACACACACACACACACACACACGAGAACCTTGCACAGTTACAGCTAGTTTAATGTCAAGAAGAAGCAACGACACAGAGCATTTAGATGGGCTCTTCCTAACTAATGGCAGCTGTAACCCCCAAAAACCAAACTCCCTTTGGTGGAGTCGATTCTGACTCACCTTCGAGGCCCCGGTAGACCTGGCCCTCCGAGTTCCTGAGACCATCAATCTCTTTGGGGACAGACAGGCTCCATCGGGTCGGCTGGTGGTTTCAAATTGCTGATTTTGCGCTCAGCAATCCAATATGTAACCCACTACGTCACCGGGGCCCCTTCATGGCCATTACTGATTGTCCCATTGATTTAGTGTACTGCCCCTTTCTCAGGAAAAGAAAAAAAAAAATCATTCAGCACCCTCTTGGCAAGTGAACTACACACACACACACACACACACACACACACACACACACACACTTCAGAGGCCTACCACGACTGTGTGGTATGATGAAATATAGTACATGATAGTCACTCTAATCAATGTGTCCCCCTAAACCCTCTCCTCTCCGGAACTCGTGGGCTGGAGTCGACCTGGTGCCGGGGGCCATTTGGCTCTCTCTGCCCCCCTCCTTCAGGACTCCTGACCCTCCACAGCCTTCCTGCTCCTTAGCTTCCCGAGTCTGGTGC